AGTGGCAAAGAGAGGGAGAAAGAGAGAACCCCAAGCAGGCTCTGCACTGTCAGCACGGACCCTGATGTGGGGCTCAAACCCACAAACCATGAGATCATGACCTAAGCCAAAGTCAGTCGCTTTACTGACTGAGCCACCCAGGCACCCCTAAAATTATCATCTTAATAAAAATATTCTGGGCAACTGACGATCTTTGTGTTTATACCAATTCTCCAATTATTACATTTACAGACAAAATTCAAGTCATTAGCATACTTTTTATGGCTTTCTCATTCCACTAAATTAAACTCATTCTGAGTCTTAGAAGTAAACTATGGAAACTGACAGAAAAAAATAGTTTTATTCTATATGCACTCAACCAACATTCCCCTGTAATAGTTTAGAATCAAACACCATCTGCAAATACTTAAAAAACAAATGGTATTTCCTCACTGAGATGAACTAGGTGTAAATTGTTTATGATGTAAAATTCAAGCACCACTACTGTAAACACCCAAGAAACTTCAAGAATTAATTCAATTTAAGTATTTATTCAAGACTTTATTGTAGATGATAATGCGACTGCTATTCTTACCTGGATATCTACCATGTTGTTTATGAAATCTATCAATAGCCCGTAACATTAAGTATAATACTATCTCATTATCGGGATTGTCCATGCTAGAAACTGAAAGGAAAAAAAAAATTTCAGTATAGTGTGGATAATTCATTACATAAAAACAATGCAGAACTGCATTTACTATATGCTCAAGTTTCAGGATACAAGGCAATTCTATTACAAAATTTAAATATTTTGTGACAATAAAACAGAAAATGATAAATAACAGTAAAACAAAGGCAGATATGTTAAAATGAAACCCAATGGTCTTATGGACGATCAATTATAGTCACATAATCTCTATTAATGTAGTAACGTTCTGACTTTATGTCATCTTCGTATCACATGACTTATTCAGTAACCTAAACATGATTTTATGTACATATTAAGTTTCATAATTTGCAATTATAACTACTTAGAAGTAGGACTACTTCTTGGTTTATAGAATAAAATTTAGAGTATAATATTTATATTATCCTGTATATTATCACCATGTACTCACTATTATATACAAAATATTTACATCTCTAAAATTAATTAAAATTAATAACCTAGCATCAAAAGGTTATTACACTTACTTATTTCATCCTTGTTAATTGTATCCAAGCCATATTCTTCAGCTAAGGATCGACATCTTACCACTCGAAGAAATGCAGAATTGGTGCCTGAACACAGGGAAGACATTATGGAAGTAAACAGGTGAGACATTTGAATATTCCAAATCACAAGTCACTTTAAGAACAGGAAATTTTGTGCATACTCTTTACAGACATGGAAATGTGAAGAAATGTCTCTTCAGTTCTAATGGTTAGCAGAGAAGGCATTTAGAACACAAGTCATCTGAAATTCACATCCTTGGCACTACAACAAGCTCAGCACTGAGTAAGAAGGTGATGGCACCTCTCTGAGCTTGTTTTCATTTGTAAAACAGGGATAATATTACCTATGAAAGTTGTTCTGTGGATCAAATGTGCAAATGTATGAAGTGCATACTTAGCACAATGCCTGATAGGACTCAGTGAACAGTAGTGTTTACCATATTATGGATAAGTAGTCATAAAGGAGAGCATTATATATGTTGTGTTCTTGGCATATGTAAGACTTTCTAAAACAACAACAACTTTGTATTAGGGAAATTTTCAAACATACCCCTAAGTAGAGAAAACAGAATAAACTCTCAAATACCCAACACCCAGCTTCTAATCTGGGATCATATAATCTAGTAAAACAAACACAAATGCAAAAACAAGATGCAAGATTGGTGGTAGCAGAAAACATTAAAACTTGGCCTAAACAAGCACTATGGTAGAGCCATTAAAGGGAGAACATGGATAAATGTATTTTAAGGATGGAGACATACAGAATATAGATTTTTGCAGAAGCTTAGGGCAATAGCTACAGGGAAAAATCCTCAGCATGTAGAACAAATTTTATTATTCTTAAACAAATTCTTAAATAAAAGAAAATGCTTTGGGTCTCCTGAGGAGTTATCAAGAAGACCCCAGGAGCCGACCCACTCTGAAACTAGATGACAAAATTCTTAATTCCATCACAGTCATTTAACACAGATCAAAGTAAGTATTTAAACCAATACTATCAATGTACATGTGACTCAAGACTTCACATCCAAAGTCTTCAGATAAAACTTTTCCAAATTATTTAATAGTAGTAAGCTGAAAATAATTCTGTATCAATGACAATTTTCAATTAATTGACCTTCATGTCTTTTTAGCACTGCCATACATAGATATACTCTATCTCTGACCCAGTTTTGTTTTGTTTTGTTTTAAGTTTATTTATTTTGAGAGAGAGAGAGTGTGCACAAGTTGGGGAGGGGCAGAGAGAGAAGAGGAGAGAGAATCCCAAGCAGGCTCCGTGCTGTCAGCACAGAGCCCAATGCAGGGCTAGATCTCATGAACCACAGTATCATGACCTGAGCCAAGATCAAGAGTTGGCTGCTTAACCAACTGAGCCCCCCAGACACACTTGACCCAGTCTTAAAATACCTTCTCTATTACGAGAGGAAAAAAAAAAGCAGCTTACTCAGTAATTATTATCTATACCACTGAGACCATGGAAAATTTTAAGTCTTAAACATTTAAAATTTCTGCAAACATTTTGTGGCACATTTTTATCAAGCAAAATGAGGAAGTTAATTCAAGGGGACTTACAGAGTAATTTTAATTCTTTCTCTGAAATGGACTCTGGTGCCTGTAAAGGGATAAATGCAGGTTTCACTCCAGTGTAAAAAAGAAGATGAAGAGAGGTGCAGCACAAACCCAATCACTGTGAGATGGGGAGGCTTTCCCCAAGCTCTGGAAGAGGACTATAAAAACACCTTGTTTGCTTAGTGAAGGTCTTTCTCATTAGGCAGGTAAGTGAGTGATCCCTCTAAAGAAGCCCAGAACCAGTACCACACGCTCTATGTCTAAACTTTTTTAGCTCCCAACTTACACGATCAAGCCAAATGGAGCTGTACCATCCATCACAGGCACAGTGCGTTCAGTTCAGCAGCTTACCTGGCCGATAGACTGCAACAATTTGGCAACATGATTACCCACAGCAGCAGCATCTTTCTTTGCTTTTTCACGGTAACTGGAAAAGAACAATAAAAGGCTATTTTTAACAAATTTTAAAATTAGCAAAATTAAAATTTTTTTAATGTTTATTTATTTTTGAGAGAGAGACAGAGCACGAGCGGAGGAAGGGCAGAGAGAGAGGGAGACACAAAATGTGAAGCAGGCTCCAGGCTCTGAGCTGTCAGCACAGAGCCTGATGTGGGGCTGAAACTCACAAACCGTGAGATCATGACCTGAGCTGAAGTCAGAAGCTTAACCGACTGAGCCACCCAGATGCCCCTATAATTAGCAAAATTTAAATATCACCATGAAGTAAACAAAATCTCTTTCCTTTTCATGAAAAAATACTGGTCTGGTAACATACAGAATGTGAAAATGCCATGGAAACCCTACCAGCAAGAGCTGTTAGTGGCTGGAAATCTTCCCAGTGTTGGTGATGGACTCTTGCAATCTACTAATGACTGGGCTCCCTCTGTAATTAATAGCAACTTAAAAACTACCCTCCTAGAGGGATCCATGATCCATGCTTCTGAGAGGACCTGACAAAATACATTACTGAAGAACATAATTTATCTCCTTAAAGTCCAAGGAAAGTTAAATACTTCAGAATTGTCCATCTACAAATTCATGTAAAAACTTTAAGTCTATTTACATTTTCACCCTCTTGTAGATGATCGGATTGTACTATCTCCAGTGTGAAGTTATAGTTCTGTCTATCTTCAGTTGACTTTTCCCAAGTTTTAAGTAGTTGAACTTTTAGGCTAAGACAACAAAGATGTAGCAGACATGAAGAGTGTTTAAGATGTCTAGAGAACAGAGATCTTCTGTGTGACATCATTTGGTTCTTGAGGAGCCCAAGTCAGCAGCCCTGGATTCATGAGCAACGTGCTAAACTACATAAGGGTAATATACAGTGAGACTCATACTTATGACAGTCTATCTGGGTTCAGGCTAGTGATACCTAGAGAGCTGGTGTCTATCTAGTCACAAACTCTTTAAATTATGAAACATTATGATTAAAAATTAATCAAACTAAAGACTTTAAAGTTTTAAGTTACAGATAAAAGATCCTATAGCACCATGGTTAAAAGTATGGAGCTGAGTTGCATGGGTTCAAATCCTGGTTCTGCCATTTACCAGCTATCTGGCTCTGAATAAATTACCTCTTCTATGTTTCAGTCTCCACATCTATAAAACTGGGACAATAATAGTATCTCTCTCATGGGGTTGTTGTAAATATTACATTAGTTAATACACAGAACAGTTCATTGCAGAGTGAAGTGCTCAAATATTAGGTTTTTGTCACAAAATATGAAAGAAAAAGTCTGCCCCCTAGAGAGTATATATGGGAACCATCTGTACTTTCTGCTCAGTTTTGCTATAAACCTAAAACTATTCTTTTTTTTTTTCCTTTTTTTTTTAATGTTTATTTTGGGGAGACAGAGAGACAGAGTGGGGGAGGGGCAGAGAGACAGGGAGACACAGAATCTGAAGCAGGCTCCAGGCTCCAAACCATCAGCAAAGAGCCCAATGTGAGGCTCAAACTGAAGCCGGATGCTCAACCGACTGAGCCACCTAGGTGCCCCAACCTAAAACTATTCTAAAAATAGAATCTATTTTTAAAAATCTGCCCCCTAAGTTTTTAAGCTTATTTTTAGACAAATTACAGCAGACTTTCATTTGATTTCTGATAGAGTGGTAAAATATATTCATCTGTACTATAAACAGATTTTCTGTTACATAGTTTGAAAACAGTGACTTACACATTTTGCAGCTTTATATATTTGCTTGAATCTGCGATCATATCAGGAATTGTGCCTCGAACAGGTAAATTTCCTTGACCCTCTTTGGCCACAAATTCTTTTAAGGCGCGAGCTAAAATCCAAAATGATGGAGTCTAAAAGAAAAAAAATTAGCATTAAGCAGTATCTGAATTTGACTCAAAGGTTAAGACAGCACTATTTACTTTATGTTGTTACCTGTTTGGTGATATTTATGCAGCGATCATCATTAAATATATCTTCAATACTGCTTGGGATCTAACAAAGGAACATGATACATTTACTAAGAACATGCCCATCTGTATTTTCACTATTTCCCCAAACAAGTTCTTAGAATTTCCACATAGTAATCAAATACAAACTTCTGATGTGCTTATTAGACTTTTATTAAGAATCAGTACCAGACGGGAGATTTGATGAGGAAAAAGAATGGAAGAAAGTCCCCTTCTGCCCACTGGTGTCAGCATTAAAGACTGACCATTCTCTTCCATCATGATTAGAGTAAAAAAGGAGCCAAAATAAACCTGTTTATATAGTTACATTTGAAGATATAACAAAGATTTCGGACATCACTACCAAGCTAGGTTTGTAGTGATGTCCTTCATGTGTTTCCATCTTGTCAAAGATTTGAAACCCTTACACTCTAAGTTAGTTATTATTAGAAGAGACAACAACTCTGACAAAAACTACATAGTAAATTAAGTACTCGTAATGCTGGCAAGATCATCATACATTAATGAAAACTACCGAAATTGTAGGCTTGGACTCTTACAGCTGTGTGGAAAAAAGAAATCTCTTACCAAAACCCTCCTAACTGGTCTGCTTCTATTCTCCTTACAAGAGCCGGAATGATTTTTTAGAAACATAAATCAGGTCACTCCACTCCCCACTTAAAACACTTCGATGCCCCCCACCCGATCCTAGAACTCCTCATCCTTTTGTTCTACTCGAATTGTGTTAATAGCACCTGGTGCATTATCTGTTTGCTTAGTTCACTGTCCCCCAACTATAAGAACCTTGTTCTTTTTTTTTAACTGGAGTAAATTTTACATTCAGTGAAATGAATTTTAAATGTACAGTTTGATGCATGTCTTTTTAATCATCACCTCAATTAAGACACAGAAAATTTTCATCACCCTAGAAAATTGATTGACAAAGCACATATTTTTAATTACTCAGCAACACGATCTCATTGTCTCTGACAGCTAAGTGCTTTCCTAATATGAAAGGCAGCATTTTTTGCCGTTTTAAATTATAAGAAAATTCTATCTTAAAGTAACAGCTGTGTTATTCCAAATTTTCCAAAAACCTCACTGGCAAGACTTTAACAACAAAACAAAGGGCATATAAACTGAGTTATCTTACAAATAATGTTTTACAGTGTCATTAAGAACATCTTCCATTATATCCAAACAACTACTATCAAAAGCAAATGCAGGATAAGATTTAACTTTTGAGCAACCTATTTCGTACCAGCAAAATATCACCCTTGTTATAAAATTCCTACACCCAAACTGTTACTATTCACAAATCATATACTTCAAATAATTTATATGAATCATTGTATCACTACTCTATGATGAAGCACTGATACCCATTTTAACAAGGATGATATAAAATCTTATTAAAGAAGATTCAATCGATATGATAGATACTAATTTCTAATTATGAAACAGTTGTCTATGAAACAACTATTTCATATGAGGACTTCAGAAAACACCCTTCTTGTATGAATGCCTCAGCAAAACTTTTTTTTTTTTTTTTTAAGTAGGCTTCACGCCCAGTGCGGAACCCAACGTGGAGCCCAAACTCATGACCCTGAGATCAAGACCTGAACTGAGATCAAGAGTCTGACGATCAACCAAATGAGCCACCCAGGCGCCCCTCCTCAGCAACACATTTAATACCTGAGTTGTATTTAGTGCTGTGTTCACATTTTTAATAGCTTCTTCAAAATTCTCTTCATCTTCCGGAGTCCCATTTTCATTCTTTAGAATTCCTAGAAAAATAGAAATTGGCTAGCAAAATAGCCCTTTTCTTCTCACCCCTTTTCTCTACCTAACATTATGGAAATAACTTCATCAGATCTTTCTTTTGAGAGAGAAGGAGTGCGCTAGGGGAAGGGGCAGAGGGAGAGGCAATCTTTTTTGTTGTTGTTGTTTTTTAATGTTTTTAATTTGCATCCAAGTTAGTTAGCATATAGTGCAATAATGATTTCAGCAGTAGATTCCTTAATGCCCCTTACCAATTTAGCTCATCCCCCCTCCCACAACCCCTCCAGTAACCCTCTGTTTGTTCTCCATATTTAAGAGTCTCTTCTGTTTTGTCCCCCTCCCTGTTTTTATATTTTTGCTTCCCTTCCCCCATGTTCATCTGTTTTGTATCTTAAAGTCCTCATATGAGTGAAGTCATATGATATTTGTCTTTCTCTAATTTCGCTTGGCATAATACTCTCTAGTTCCATCCAGGTAGTTGCAAATGGCAAGATTTCATTCTTTTCGATTGCTCAGTAATACTCCATTGTATTATATACCCCACCTTTATTCATTCATCTGTCGATGGACATTTGGGCTCTTTCCATACTTTGGCTATTGTGGATAGTGCTGCTACAAATGTTGCAGTGCATGTGCCCCTTCGAAACAGCACACTTGTATCCCTTGGATAAATACTAGTAGTGCAATTGCTGGGTCGTAGGGTAGTTCTATTTTTAAACAGGGAGAGGCAATCTTAAGCAGGCTCCACGCCCAGCACAGAGCCCAGCTGGGGGCTCTATCCCAGACCCGGGGATCGTGACCTGAACCAAAATCAAGAGTCGGATGCTCAGCCGACTGAGCTACCCAGGCACTCCAAACCTTATCAGATCTTAAAAGAAGGATTGGATATTGAAACTTAAGAACAAACAGGCTTATTGTTACTCAAATTATTTTTAGTAATATTAATAGCTAACCTTTATTTTTTACTTTGTATCAGATATGGTTAAACGTACTTCAGATTTTACTGTATGAATGAATCCTCACAACAACTCTATGAGCAGTCCCCAATTCCTCCTCTACTGATGAGGAAACTATCATTAGTCATTTTAAAAACTATACAAGGAGTGGCTCCAAATCTCCTCTGAGGAAAAATAAAACTCATGATGCCATCAGTCTGACAAAGCTGCTGACAGAAATCCAATAAACAACTTCAAGCAATTTGTTTTTCAAACTTTATACAACATTCAGTTACATCCCATCATATTACCTTGTCTAATCAAATCTCTGAAGTCTTCTTTTTCCTTATACGTTTTAGGTATTCGTCCATTTGTCTAAATTGGTTAAAAATTTTAAATTCTAGTTATAAAAAACCAAAACACGGAAATTGAGAGTCCAAACTTCTCCCCATTCTCCCATCTACATGAGATTTCATCAGCAAATACATACCTCAGTGAAATCAGAGGCTGACTTGAAAGAAAACAAAAACTGCAAGCCATTTTTCTACATTCCCCACTGCCAGTTTCAGAATGACATTTATTGATATTTGATTTCACTAGTAAAAGTATCAGTATCAAAAGAGGAACTGCCAGATTTAAACAGAAAAGCACCCACCTGCCCAATTACCACATAAGGAAAAAAGTTAATCTCCTACTCTCCTTCACTGAAATCCTTTATAATAAATTGAAAATACAGTCACATATGGAATTTGTTTTTAAAAAAAAGACATACTTCTCTATACCACTGTGCTAAATATTTAGCTACGATCACAATCCATGGAGTATGGCTGTGGTCCTAAAAATGAAAGAAATATCGAAGAAAATGTCAGTATTAGTTAACATTAATTTACAGTTATTCTTCATTAAACCATCTCATTTTCAACAAATTCAATAATATATATGATCATCTTCCAGTATATGTAGTATAATGAATGAAGGAAAATGAACTGGGTTAATGAAATTGCTTTATAAGCTTTTTTATAAGCAGTGTCCAATTTAATCCTGAACTGGCAGGCTTGTACGATGATTAAGTTTTTCTAAGTTTATTTATTTTTGAGAAAGACAGAGTGTGAGTAGGGGAGAGGCAAAGAGAAAGGGAGACACAGAATCCGAAGCAGGCTCCGGGTTCCAGGCTGACAGCACAGACCCTGACACGGGGCTCAAACTCACAAACCGTGAGATCATGACCTGAAGCGAAGTCAGATGCTTAACCGATTGAACCACCCAGGCGCCCCAGGTTTGTACTATGTGGGTCCCCATTTTCCCATCAAGAAAACAGTCTCAGCGACTGCCACCCAAAAAGAAAACTCAAATCTCTTGATTTCAGAAACCAATCCTAGACTGAGAAAACTGTCTCTTGTGATGAAACAAATAACCAAATACCCACATTTTAATTAATACATGGGTAGGAAAAAACACATACTCCTTTAATTATATAGTCTGTTATAAATATCATTATTTCCATAATGAAATATGGAGTTGCCTTGGTAACTCTTCAAACATTAAGTTTCAAAAGCAATCAATTTCAACAAACACCCACCCCAAATTCATACTATTTTAAAAAGTACATCTAATTGTTTAGAAACGGGCCATGAAGAGGTCTGCTGGGATATGTTAATGTCTAATTTCTTGACCTGGGTGTTGATTACACAGATACAGTCAGCTAATGAACTTCTCTTCAATAAAAAAGCTTTTTAAATTTTGGTCAAAACTAAATTTATTTCAAAACAATTAAGTACAATGTTGTTACTACATAATCTGGATGACATGAATATGGATGTTTATAGTATTTTCTCACTTTGGTGTAATTCAAAAACCTTAGGTTAAAAAAAAACTTTTAATCTATCTATAAATTGAAGGTTATATATACTACCAACCTTTTTTTCCATATGATCCAAATCATATGACTGAAAATGTTCTCTCAGTTCAGGAAATGGTTTATCCAGTCGTAGATCCTCTAATGCATTATCTGGATGAGATTCTATTACTGTGAAACAAATAATCCCAAAACATAAACTTCTTTAGTGATACTTCTGGAATACACTACATTATAGAAACTTAAGAAATCTAGTTTCTAAATGGGCCTAGGGCCTACAGGTTTTTTTCTGTTCATTTTTTTTTTTAACCAAGAAACTGATTTTATTTATTTATTTATTTATTTATTTATTTTTATTTTATTTTATTTTTAATCTTTATTTATTTTTGAGAGAGAGAGAGACAGAGTGCGAGCAGAGGAGGAACAGAGAGAGGGAGACACAGAATCCGAAGCAGGCTGCACAGAGCCCGATGCGGGGCTCGAACCCACAAACTGTGAGATCATGACCTGAGCTGAAGTCAGATGCCCAACTGACTGAGACACCCAGGCGCCCCATGATTTTATTTATTTTTTTAAGTAAGTTCCACACCCAACGTGGGGCTCATATTCACAACCCCGAGATCAAGAGTTGCATGCTCCACCAACTGAGCCAGCCAGGTGCCCCTTTTCTGTTCATTATTGAGATAAATTTACATACAGATATATATTCATATTTTACTAAATGCACAAATCATAAGTTGACTATAGTTTTAATAAAAGTAAAATAGAACCGAATTATCTTGCCATTGTAATTGAAAAAGATCAAAATTGATAAAATGTGTGTTCAGATAGCATTTAACAATCCACCCTTCCCTTCCTGTGGCCTTCAATAGACATCATCACCATCTTCCTAGACCTCTTCTCTAGAAAGCTGATGGTTATCCTTGACTTTTTTTTTTTAAGACTTTAGTTTTAAGTAATCTCCACACCCAAAGTGGGGCTCAAACTTACAACCCCAAGATCAAGAGTCGCATGCTCTTCTGACTGAGCCAGCCTCTATCCTTGATTTCTTTCTTCCTTGGCCCAACATCAGTCACACCACATGTCCTGGTATCACTTCATACACAGTTCCCCACATGAGGGGAGTACAGGAACATGTAATTTCAGTGAGTGGTTAGGGCTAGGCCTAGTTCTGTTACTTGCTAGCTGTGTGACCTTGGGCAAATAACTTAATCTCTCTGTGCCTCAGCATCCTCATCTGCAAAAAGCAGATGTGTAATAGTATCTACCTTATAAGAATTTTAGAAAGATTATATGAAATAATCCACATTAAGGCAGGCACACAGCTAGCAATATTAACCCTCATTACTATCTACCTCCTCTTCCCTATCCTTATAATATCTGCCTTAAGGCAGGGGCTCAGGGGGCCCCAGGGTGGCTCAGCTGGATAAGCTTCTGACTTCAGCTCAGATCATGATCTCACACTCCGTGGGTTGGAGCCCCGCATCGGGCTCTGTGCTGACAGCTCAGAGCCTGGAACCTGCTTCCGACTCTGTGTCTCCCTCTCTCTCTGCCCCTCCCCCACTCACGCTCTGTCTGTTTCTCAAAAATGAACAAATGTTAAAAAAAAAAGCCCCACAGGGGCTTAGTCTCTGTCTCTCTCAACTAGATACACCACCAGAAATTTCCTAACAGCAACACTTGCCTCTAATTTTCACCTCTTCAAATACATTCATTTTCTACCCCACTTTAGGGTGACACATTTGAAATAAATTTTTCACCCTGTCACTCTCCCACTTACAACTCTTAAAGAGCCTACCACCACCTTCCAGAAGTTTATCCCACAAGCCACTCCCAAACTACCAAGCAGATACTACTCCCCAGTGATACTACCAACACCAATGGCTATCAACTGCTCTAGCAGAGTACCTGTCTCAGAGCAATGCAGAATACTGAATGAAAACTGTCCAATAATTTAAGATCAAACAGTTGTAAGTAAAGGGCTAATATCATTCTTGAGCTCATGCCAACCTGCCTATGAATGACCTCAATCTCCTAAAACACTGTTTCCTTGGAACAATAAGGTAAATGCTTTGCTTATTATGTAGAACTGTCCCTGAACTGGGGGAGCCTATTGTCAATATGAGAATGGAAGGAAAGATTGGAGAAAAAGTGGTATGACATCTATCTATGTGTCACTGTGGCCCACACACCATGGCTCTCACCTATAGCAGCCCTATGTGCCCTATGCAGGTTAGGAGGCAAAAAAAAAAAAAAAAAAAAAAAAGCAAAAGCTAGGGACTTGCATAGCTGCTGGGCCTCCTAATAAGATGAAAAAGCTGTATCTGTTGTATTTCCTGCTTTGCATCCTTCTATAGTGCTAAGGAAATATTAGATTAACGTCTGTTGATTTTGATTGCCACTCTGAACCTGTAACCATAGTCGTGCTGTTACAAATTTACTTTGTAATTTAAAACAGACTTCCTAAATTGTCAAGTTTCTAAAACTGTAGCTAAAGCAACCAATGGCAAGCACCATATGTGCAAGAGTTTTACCTGGATGTTCTTTTATAATGATCCTCATATAACCAACTAGTCCATATGTCCTACAGATCAAAAGAGGGATTTGGGAATTCCAGAGGACATCTGCTAAACGTAGTAATGTACTGTAAAAGGAAAGCACAATAAGTAAGACCATAAGCAAATGGATGTATGCCAAACATGAAAGCACATTAAAATAAAGGAATTTTCTTACTAATTAATGCAAAGATAGATCTATTACATTTACATATGCAGGTCATGGATACACTGAAAAACAAGCAATTCCAGAAGGCTGCAGTCTCACAGAAAGTGTATCTTTTGGACTAGAGGGATATGAAAGCCTCTTTTTTGTATTAGGGACAATGTTCTTGAAAGACACTTCCTGACATTTCCATAACAAAGAGGAAAATATGTATTTAAAACTCTAGTATACATCAAGCACACTATAATTCTAACTAGGTTTTTTTCACTAAAAAAATAACCAAGGTTTAATTTAACTGCTCTAAATATGTATTAAGAAAAGTTTCACATCTCAGTACTTTTCTCTTTCCTATCTTTTCGATGTTGGAGATTTATAAGTACTTCCAATTAAAGGTTTCTGTGGAATTTAAGAATTTTAAAAACTATAGACTCTGCAGAGAAAACAAAAACTATTCAAATCTAATAAGAGACTAAAATAAAAACAAATTATCATAAAAATTTACCTTTCAGGAAGCTGAGTTGCAACCACAATGGTAAACCTACAGAAAAATGAAGGATCATTGTCTAGAAGGTTTTCTGGACTCTAAATAGGACACAGGAAAAGAATTCAACAATTTCACAATCACATTAAACATGTCAGAAACAGTTAAGGTATTTAAGAACAAATGAGGCAACATGCTAGACTCCAATTTTAAGTAATTCAACTCTCAATTAAACATAAATATACAAAAGGTTCAAAATTCTAAATTCTGTGGTGCCTGGCTGGCTCAGTCAGAAGAGCATGTGACTCTTGATCTCAGGGTCAGAAGTTCGAGGCCCACGCTGGTTGTAGAGATTATTAAAATAAATAAACTCAAAATTCTAAGTTCTTAGGGCTTTGAATTATTAAAAAGTTACATTTCTACACAGAGATAATAATGTGTATACATATATACCTCTTCCACAAAACTCCCAGAGACGTCGTTATTTAATTCTTGTAAGAATTCCATGGCAGCTTGAGCTCGGTTCTTTTTAAAAACAAAGCATTTGACTTGAATTAGAAAAAATTTGGTTAAAATGTAACCCCTCAATTTACAGATCAAGCAAACATACTATAAAACTACCCAAATTTCATGCATAGATATGACAGTTCTGCTTTTCATAGTATTTAAACTGAGGCCAAACCAGAGTATTATTTAAACGACTAAATTATTTGCACCCTACTTTTCTGATTAGGCAAATGACCAGAAAACCTTGGGTAGCAGGCAGAGATATTCTGGACCAAGTCTAGGTTCACTCTAAGCTCCTACATTTACAATCCTATATAAGAGAAAACAATCAAAGAAACAGTCATTTCCATTGAGAATTACTGTACTAAGTTGACTATTATACCTTTTAAGATTTTTAATATGGAATACACAAAAATAAAAGATATGCTAACTTTTAGTTAAAAATATTGTATATAGAATATTCCATCCTCTAAACATTAACATCACTCAAGGTTTAGCTTTAATACAAGTTACATCATAAAAACAGTACTTTTAAGTTCTTAAACTACCAAGCATATAAAGAGTTGCAAGATATTGGGGCGCCTGGGTGGCGCAGTCGGTTAAGCGTTCGACTTCAGCCAGGTCACGATCTCGCGGTCCGTGAGTTCGAGCCCCGCGTCGGGCTCTGGGCTGATGGCTCAGAGCCTGGAGCCTGTTTCCGATTCTGTGTCTCCCTCTCTCTCTGACCCTCCCCCGTTCATGCTCTGTCTCTCTCTGTCCCAAAAATAAATGAACGTTGAAAAAAAAAATTAAAAAAAAAAAAAAAAAGAGTTGCAAGATATTTAAAAAAAGAGCTAATTTAACTTTTTTCTCAGAGAAATAATAAGCTCTTTCAAAGTCAAAGCTTTTCAAACAATCAAAACATAGTGGCATCATGAGATGCTTAACACAACTATAGTCTGTAATAAATTGATGTTTTACCTTGCCGATGCTGCTTCTTTGAAGGAAAAAACTAAAATAGAATTAAAAAAAATTAAGGGCTTCTTTGACTCTAAAGGAAAGGTTATATTTCATTCATACTATGAAACAAACTATATTTTGATTACAGGTTATAACAACCTTGCTGGAGAAAGATAACGAGATGAAACTTCTAATCAAAGACCAGGCTAACATATCAATGTTTCCGAAGTGTGTACCACAGCATACGAATTTCATAAGATGCTATGAGAGAAAAAAAGTTCCCTGGTTTTACAAAGTTTAGGAAACACAATATGTTCTATTTCCCTCTTGGAAATTCATAATATATATAATACACATGACATTAAAGTCTTATAGAAATGCTTAACTTCATTTGGCCCATTTCCCAAACTTATTGGACCATGAAATACTTTTACCCATTTAGCACCTATTAACATCCCCCAGAGCCAGTGTTCCACAGACCACACAGGAAATGCTATATTGAACTGCTTGTTTTTGTAGGTAACTCTAATTGACTTATTCAAGCTTCTTCCCACACATACCCTTTTCATGTGTCAAGGTCCAGATCTGAGGCTGGGTACCATTTTGTAGCACAAAATTAGTGGCTCCATAAAAAAAGAAATCTTATTCTTATCACACACTGCTCTAACCAACCAAGTAAGCAAAGATAATGGGACTTTTTCTTTAGAGATACAAATAAAAGGACGCTGTTGTGGATATACTATAGCCCAATATCAAAGTTCAATATGAACTAAATTCTCACTTTCCTTGAGTGTACTCATTGTTGTCACATACTAACAAATATAATGAGAGATTCCAGCCTCCAAGTCCCTGAAAAGAGCTTGAAATCCAAACCTGGGAATGCTTTGGAAGCTAAATTACGATCATCTTTTAAAAAATGATACACAGGCCATCTTTAAAATAGCACTTTTAGGGGCGCCTGGGTGGCGCAGTCGGTTAAGCGTCCGACTTCAGCCAGGTCACGATCTCGCGGTCCGTGAGTTCGAGCCCCACGTCGGGCTCTGGGCTGATGGCTCAGAGCCTGGAGCCTGCTTCCGATTCTGTGTCTCCCTCTCTCTCTGCCCCTCCCCCGTTCATGCTCTGTTTCTCTCTGTCCCAAAAATAAATAAAAAACATTGAAAAAAAAAAAATTTTTTTTTAAATAAATAAATAAATAAAATAGCACTTTTATAGAGACAGTGGAGTGTACAGAGAGATATACCTGGACTAAGCTCAGAAGAAATACAAATAAAAGGTAGTTTTTATTATTCTTATAATCCAAAAAATACAATTAATTTAATTATAAAAAAATTATATATATATATATACACACATATATACATGTGTATATATACACACATATATACGTGTGTATATATACACACATATATGTGTGTATATATATATAAATAATAAACACCTTCCCTAACAGGCATGTGTTTGAAAAGAATAGAACATACTTATTTCCAGCATCTTCTCCGCTGACCTGATTTCCATCAATAATTGTAAATGAACCAATACCTGGAAGACAAAACAGAGTCAGTCAAGAAAACATATTTCTAGTTCAAAACCATAAGGGGTAAATTTACAACCACAAAACTACATTACCTGGTAGTACCAAGTTTTTTAGAATTTCAGTTCCTGTGGCTGTTGCATTTATTAGGCAAACGTGAGCAGATTCTAAAGCCTCTTGCCCATGATCACCCCACAACCTATAAAATAAGACACAAATTCAACATTTTTAAAACTTTCATACAAATGCAACTTTCTTAATTGGATGCTGACCTGTGATCTTCAAAGTGTTCTTGCATAGAATGGCTGCTGTGATGACCACAGCAAACATGTGAGACAGGAACAGCAGCAGGTGTTATGGGGATTATATAGCTAAGTAACCTGAGACTCAGACAGGTTGATGCCTGGCATGCATGATTACAAGGAGGTCAAATCAGCACTAAAAACCTTGCCTTCCAGCTCCTTGTCCATTACCCTTTTCAAGTCAGATAACTTACAGAACAGAGTCTTTAGATATATTCACTAACATTATAGAAGTACCTTAAAACCTATTCTGTTCTCTATTTCATTTCTCCTTAAATTATATAGACTAGTATATTTAAGATCTTGACATAGAATTTACCACTGTGACATGTGCAAGAGAAAAGGTTTACCAAGAAAACTGAATTATTGTCATCTGAAAGGCCTCACATTGACTTCTACAGGAGTGCTTTAAAATATAATACCAGGGACACCTGGGTGGCTTAGTCGGTTGCGTGTCCGACTCTTGATTTCAGCTCAGGTCATGGGATCGAGCCTCGCATGGGGCTCCATGCTGGGTGTGGAGCCTGCTTGAGATCCTCAAGCCCGACCCCCACTCTCTCTCCTGCCCTTTTCCCCTGCTCGCTCTCTCTAAAAAAATAAAATAAAAAAATATAATACCCAATGCTCACTTTAGTAGCATGATTAATAAATGCATAAAATGCATACATTAACAAACATAAAGATATAATAAGAATTAGACAGATATATTTTATAACCTGATTCACAATGGCATATCATTAACGGGGCAAGGTACATGATCACACACGCACCATGGCATCTGGGCCAACCTGGTTACCTTCACCCAGAAAGCCCATTATCTTTTCTTGTCAGTATGGAAAGTATAGGGGGAGCCCAAACCATTAGAAAAATGCTACAGTGTGGAGGACTGATAGGCTTTAATGGGCTTTCCCTGTCACCTAATCTAAAGCAGATTCCCTGTTATTGTGTAGCCAGTATGTCCTCCAGAGCATATCACAACTGTTTTTTATTTGCTGAACATCCATCTTTCTATTCCACTCTAAGCTCCATGAGGGCCCAGATGACTCCCTATATGCACTGCTGGAGACCCAATGCCTGGCACACTGCCTTGCCCAGGGTAAGTGATCACTGAACAGCTGTCAAATGAAAGGAGGAATAGCACAGAAGAACCAGACAGACTGGAAACGTCTGTTTTGTTTTTTTTTTTTCCTATGAAAGTAGGGCACACAGAAGACACCTGACATATTTGGTTGATGTCTACTTGGGCAGTCAGACAGTGAGCCTAAGAGAATGCTGATGCATCTCTAGGTAACATGTTTCAAGAAAGAGGCCACACAAGAAATCAATCCTCTTTGCTCCCTTGCTGGCTTAGCTATGGAACACAAGGCCTTGTTGATTGTTGCCCAGCTGCACAACTTTGCTTCTAGCTGCCTCACTGTGACATTTTATTTTTTTTTTTTATTTTTATT